ATACTATAAAAAACTATAAGATTAAAAAACCTAAGTTTTAAAGGGCAAAAAACCCGAAAATACCCTTATTTCTATAGTTAATTCAACTAAATTAACTAACACTACAGAAATTGAGGAAGATAAAACGATGCCAGATTTTTCAACTATATCTAATAATGATTTTAACGTTACTAAAAATGAGGTATATAGCCCATTAATTTATAATAATAAATTAAAAACTAAATATAAACCAGATTATTTAAAAGGGGATATAGCCTATAAGTAAGGTTTAATGTTTAATTTCGTTATTAATACTACTACTATAATTTATATAATTTATAATTTAAGCTATTTCTACTAATATAAAACTATAAATATAAAGGAAATATAATAATAAAAACAAATATAGGACTTCAATATTTATTAGAAGAAGTATACTATATTCTAGAATTAGGAATAAATGATACTATATTCTAGAATTAGGAATAAATTTACTAAGTATAAATAAATTAAATAATATAAAAGCAATATTTATAAAAGAAAAAGCTATATTATATAAAGAAGATAAATTAATATCTATTAGAAAAAAGATACAAAATCTATATATAACTAAAAATATATCCTATAAACTAAAACTAAATAGACAAATCTTAATAACTAATAGAATTAAGAACTCTCTTATAAAACAATAGTATAAAAGACTAGGACATATTTCTTTTAAATCTTTATAGGCATTTATAAAGTTCTTAAATATCTCTATAATAAAAGCAAGTTATTCAGAATAAGTTAATAAATATAAAATATGCCTACTATCTAAAAATAATAGATATATAAATAAAGAAAGTAATAATCCAATTGAATATGATTTAATTGAAAGAATATATAGTGATCTAGGTGGCCCACTACCCACTATATAACATTTTTAGATAAAAAGTCTAGATTTATATAGGTATTTCTACTATAGACGAAAAATGAAGTATATAATGCTTTTAAAAAATTAAAGGCTCAGATTAAAAATAATAAAAATGGACGTATAAAAGAGTTCTTTACAGATAACGGAAAAGAATACGTTAATAAGAAGTTTAAAATAGCTTTAATAAAATATAGTATAATACACAAATTAACGCCTACGTATACAAAAGAACCAAATAGTTTAATTAAAAGAATTAATCTAACCCTTTTAAATAAAGTAAGAGCTATATTAATTCAATCTAGAGCACCCACCTATCTATAGGGTGAAGCATTAAAAGTATCCGTATATTTATATAATAGAACACTATATAAATCACTAAATTATAAAACTCTATATAAACTATATAATAGTGTAAAACCATATATTAAAAATATAAGAGTATAGGGATTAACAATATACTACTATACAAATAAATATAAAATAAAGCTAGAACCGAGAAAAGATGAAGCTATCTTAATAGGTTTTAACGATATAAATCACTATAAAATATAGGATTTCAATAAAAATAAAGCAATTTGGACTAGAGATTCATCTATATACGAAAATAAATTTATAGCTAAAGAATTAAAACATAATGAACCTAATAATATATATAATCTTATATTATATGAAGATTATAACGAAATAGCTAGTGATCCAAATCATAAAATAGAAGTTTAAATTCTATATGAAGAAAATACGATTTTATATACTATAAAAGATACTAAATTAGAAAATTTAATTCAAAGTATTAATAATACTACTAGTTTTCTCCTAACTACTTTAACTCTATTAGAACCTAATACTTTTAAAGAAGTAATAGAGAGCCCTAAAAATAAGGAATAGTATAAGGCCTACTTAGAAGAGGTTAAAGAATTAGAAATTTAAGAAATATATAATAAAATTAATATACTATAAGATATAATACCTATTAAAGGAAGATAGGTTTTTAAGAAAAAACTAATTTCTAACCCTTTAAATATAAAAGATTTATATATTACAGATAGAAATAAGACTTATCGCTATAAGGCTAGATAGGTTATATAAGGCTTCCACTAAAGAATAGGTGTTAACTTTTTAGAGACCTTTTCTATAATATATAGAACGGAGATATAGTATATACTATTAATTATAGTAATAAATAAAGGATGGGCTATATTACAATACGATGTTAAAAATGCATTCGTACATACTAATATAGATGCTAATATTTATACTATACTACCAATAGGTATTTATAATGATAAATCGCAATGTTGCCATTTAAAGAAGGCTATTTATGGTTTAAAACAAAGTCCAAGACTCTGGTATAAATATCTATTAAATACACTATTAAAATTTAATTTCAAAGTATTACCTTACGATAAAGGCGTATATATAAATAATGACACTAAATATATTTTAATATGTTATATAGATGACATATTAGCTATATATAAAGATCCTATATATATACGTAACTTGATGATATAACTACGAGAATATATTAAAATTGAAGAGATGGGGCCTATATCTATATTCTTAGGAAATGAGATACAAATAAAAAATAAAACCCTATATATTATATAAACTAAATATATAGAGAAACTACTAACTAAATTTAATATATATAATAATAACCAAATTAAACCGGTTAAAATTCTAGGAGAGCTAGGTATAAAATTATATAAAAATATAAACCAAGCTAATACGAAGGATATAACTGAATATTAAAAGTAAGTGGGATCCTTACTATATCTAGTACTAAAAACTAGACCAGATATAACATTTACAACTATCTATTGCTCTAGATTTATAAGTAATCTAAATAAGGATCACTTTAATACTCTATTAAAATTATAGAAATATTTACTATATATAGATAAGCTCGGTTTAAATTATAACTACTCCGGTAGTGATTTAATACTAAAAGGATATTATAACGCTAACTAGGCAAATGATCTAAATGATAGAAAATCCACCTTAGGATATCTATTTAGCTTATTATATAATATTGGAATTAATAATCCTATATTATAGAATTCATAATTATAAAAATCGGCTCCTATTAGCACTTACGAAGCTAAATATATGTCACTTAGGGAAGCTACGAAAGAAGCTATCTATCTAAGTAGTATTTTTAATTATATAAATACAAACCTATAACTAAAATACACCCATTTAATTCCTAAAATATTGCTAGATAGCCTTTCTATAAAAAGATTAGCTGAAAACCCTAAATTCCATAAAAGGACAAAACATATTGATCTAAATTTCCATTTTATAAGACAAGCTGTATTAAATAAAAAGATAGCATTAATATATATCCCTACTAAATATCAATTAGCTGATTTTCTTACTAAAAATGTGCCTTTAAATCTATATAAGAGCTTTGTGGAACTAGCAAGATTAACAAACTAAAAATATATATAAAATCCTAATCTATATAATAAATAATTATTATATACATTAAGGGGGGATATCATATTTAAAAGTCAATACTTCTACTATTATAATCCTATTAATATAACATATAAGTGATTTAAACTATACAATGCATTTTAGTTTAAAAATGCAACATTAGAAATAATGATTTAATAATATAACCATACAATGTAAAATATAATATGAACATACAATGCATTATGCAACATTACAATATAACCATACAATGCATTTATTAAAATGCAACATTACAAAATAATGATTTAATAAATATAAACCATATATGAATTTATTAAAATGCAACATTACATATGATTTAATAATATAACTATACAATGCATTTTAAATCTATCATTATGACGATAACACATTTAATTAGATCTATCTAGATCTATTTTCAAAAGAGATAAATAAGACTATAACCACCGAGATAATAATCTTTTTCGGAACATGGTCAATATCTTCTTTATATTGAATATACTTCAATTAACTAAAATACAACCTTTTTATCTCTTACTTTCTTACCTTTCATCTTTAGTTTTTTCTTCCTACCATCTAACCCCTATAACCTCCTAGAGTATGGATGGTACCATGTGTCACATGATATTCAGGGTATTTTACCCTGTTTCCACCATGTATTCAATCTTAGTATTCGACACTAAATACTAAAATAGAAAAGGAATATCTATTATATATTAGTTAAGTATTAAAAACTAAACTATCTCTAAGACCTCTAATTAACTTTAATAAATCTAATAAGTAAAGTAATATCTTATAACTAGCTAAGTAGAAGACTTTATCTAAGCACTAGCTCTTCCCTAGTTATCTTTAAGTTCTTAAATTTTAATAATATAAGGAGTTAGAGTAATAGCTATAATTAAGGTATTCGACTTCTTTTTAGATATTTATAAGTTATACTCGGCCTAAATGCTTAGCCTAATAACCTAAACGGGTTGTTAGGCTGTACCACACTATCATATTAAATAAATAAAAGTGGACTATAATATTGTATATGGTTAAATTTAATGCTTATAATCCTATTAATATAACATGTAAGTGATTTAACCTATATAATGCATTTTCAAACTAAAATGCAACATTACAAAATAATCATTTAATAATATAACTATACAATGCATTTTAAATCTATCATTATGACGATAACACATTTAATTAGATCTATCTAGATATATTTTCAAAAGAGATAAAATAAGACTATAACCACCGAGATAATAATATTTTATAGAATATAGTGAATATCTTCTATATATTGAATATACTTCAATTAACCAAATACAACCTTTTTATCTCTTTACTTTCTTACCTTTCATCTTTAGTTTTTCCTTCGTATCATATAACCCCTATAACCTCCTAGAATTTAATACCTATTGATCTATTAATTAGGCTTAAAAAAGCATTTCTATAGTATATAAATTTAGATATTATCGTAGTGATTAAACGATTAATTATATCAATGTTTTATATTCCTCACTAAGACTATTTAACACCTAGGTAATTACTAATTGTCTTAGTACTGATTCCTTTCCTTCTTTCTCTTTCTCCCCCTCCTATTTCTACAATTCTTGATTTAATGCAACTCTTACCTTTGAGAAGACCTAGATAGTAACAATATTGACAAAGCGGGGTTTATTTTAACTAGTCATCGGGGTATTCATCCTTCATGTTACTCACAAACATCCTCTCCCTCTCATCCCACCGTTTGAAATGCTTACCCGCAATGGCAGTCAAGCTTCTCGGCAATTCCGTGAAGAGAGGTAGAATTATTCCAATGTTTTCCTCAGCCACATATCGGACACTTCGATCCGCCACACTAAGCATCCATTGTTAGCCATTAGCCAAGACGAGAACACAAGTACAAAACCACCTACAGCACATGATAGAAGCTTTGGTGCCTGCCAGCTTCTAAACGATCAATGCCCATTCTCCTCATCCACTGTTCACCAGCGCCACATTCCGAGTCCCAGCCCGTGATAATAGCCTCGTAATGATAGCGACGATGGCGGAAAATCTGGCCCACCTTGTATTGTATATTTGCATTGCCACCAGTTCGCCTCCGAATCTGCTTCGGGATCTCATCCACGGCCCTCATCACATGAAGGCTCTCCAGTATGTGTTCATGCTCGAACAGCCCATGAAACAAGGGAGCGATGTACTGCTCGACTAGAAATATATCAGAAGGAAAGTCTGTAGCAAACAGTTCCATGAGCCATGGCAACTGATGGCGTAAATCCATGGGCCTCGAATTGCCTGACAGTAGCATCACAGACCAGAGTGCTGCGTACTTTGCGCTCACCACATCTATCGAGGTGGCACGCGAGGTCGGATTCTGGGGTTCGACACGAATCGAGTTCAATATGTTCTTACCACAGCGCAAGACAACGCCCGAGGTCGATGCTTCACCGAGAGTTGTGCGTTGATCCATGTTGGACATGCCCAGAAATGTTAATTGGCTGCGCAGGTTTGAGACAGCAGTTTCTCTTGCACCCCGAAACGGGTCCAAGTAAAAGGGCTCCCCTGGCTCCATCCCACTCAAAGCATTGCCATTGATATCTGAGCCCAGCTGGGGGGTAATGATAACATGCACATGGAACGGAAAACCACAAGGACGGGCGTTTAGGCCTACCCCCTGCGCAACAAAGCAGTATATCGCAGCTGATATCAACGGCAGAGAGTTATGCCCTGGATCCTTTAGAGCCAGCCCTAAAAAGTTATGCTCCAAAGAATGATATTCCCGCTCTGGATTAATCCCCGTGAGATCATTCAGCGCTAGCCAAGATGCTATGGCTAGTGCCTTCTCACGGGGGGTGAAGAGGTAAAGATCCGGGTGAGATGCAATAAAGCGGTCTAGTATCACATCCAGAGAGTCTCGTATCTAGATCGGAGTCAGGTATAGATTTGTCGAGGGGTTACCCTGGGATAACACCTACTTCATCCAAATCCCCGGTTCCACTTTCGGGTATGAAGAGATCAAAGCAGGCCAAGGCTCTGTCGAGTGACACGGGTTCTCCGCGATTGAGTTTCGCCCATTCTGGTATAGCAATGCTTCGGTGTAGGCAAGTCAAGAGCGCGTGGGCGTAGTACCTTTTGTGATTGGCACAAGGCACTGGTTAATTTGAGGGAAACACATGCCAACTTTCATAGAATTAGTAGCCCACCTTCTGGCCAAATAATCCTCCCCAGACTCTATCAGGCTGTATCGTAGAAGAGTATCCTTTGTATCATATCCCATATTGATAACACGGCGAAACTTCTCGATTCGGCCGGTCTGGCTACCAAGAATACTATCAAGAAGCCGAGTGACAGATCGATCAACTTGAAACCTGAAGACAAAGAGCGCTTTCCAATCAGTTGAATTCACTGGGCAGGCAAGCTTCCGGGGCATCTCATGTCGCCCATCCCAGAACTTGTAATGCGACTGGCAATGGTGACGCCATAGTAAACGCTCGTTCGCTACGTTTTGAAATCGACTGTTGGTTTGTTCGACGGCGGCGCAGGATTGAGGAGAAGAATAACATAGAATTGAATGCAGGATCTCGTCTGGAAGATGGATTAAAGACCGAACCATCCCTGAAGGTGGAATATTGACGACGTTGGAAGGGGAAGACCAAAGGAGAGAGCAATCAGAACGGAAGAACAACCGGTTTACATTCCTCGGTAAGTGAAGGGGGGAGAGAGAGAGAGAGAGGAAAAAAGGAAGGGTAGATCAGAAACTTAGGAGGAACATGTAGGAAAATAGGAAAAATATTAGCACCAAGAGGCACTGAGAATATGTTTCTCCCCGCTTTTGTTATCTCCATTGAAGACGCCAAGCCTTCCAAGGTTGAACTTCATCGCAATGTTTTTTTTCTCTCTTCTTTTCTTCCCTTCTTCTGCTTATAGACATTTATATACGGTACTCTCGCTCTACCGTACCACTGATCTCTTTGGGATATTTGAAATGAATTACTAAACAAAAGTTGCTTCAAAATAATTGCGGCCGATTATTGCGGTCCTCGCCATCCTTCCCCACCATTCTTTCTCTCCTCCTTACACGCCATGGGCCAATTCCATTCCACTAGCCAGGCGAGCTCTGGCGCTTCAGAACAATCAGACCAGAAGACTGATTATTATGAGCTGCTTGGTGTAACACGCGGTGCAACAGATGAGGAGTAAGTTCGCATGGATATGTGGTTATGGACATAACTAAAACTTGCCCGACCTCTCAGGATCAAAAAGGCATATCGAAAAAAAGCTCTTGTGCTGCACCCAGATCGAAATTATGGGAATGTTGACGAGGCTACGAAGCTGTTCGCTGAAATCCAGTCCGCATACGAAGTACTAGCAGATCCCCAGGAACGAGCATGGTACGACTCCCATAGCGATGCATTTTTAGGGACCAACGGAAACACCGATGATCAACACTCGTACAATGTTCGAATCACAACAGCCGAAGATGTCCTCAGACTCTTTTCGAAGTTCAGTCCTCGAATGGAGTTTTCCGACTCCCCAACCGGCTTCTTTGGTGGTTTACGAGAGCAATTCGAACAGCTCGCGCTGGAAGAAAGATTGGCCTGTCAGTGGGAGAATCAAGACCCTATCGAATATCCATCATTCGGATCTGGTGACGATGACTTTGAAACCGTTGTACGGCCATTTTATGCTGCATGGACCGGGTTCTCCACCCAAAAGTCATTCGCATGGAAAGATGCTCATCGCTATTCTGAAGCGCCTGATCGTCGGGTGCGACGAATGATGGAAAAGGAGAACAAACGTCTTCGGGAGGAAGGCATCCGAGAATTCAACGATGCTGTCAGGTCCCTCGTGGCTTTTGTCAAGAAACGTGACCCGCGGTATAAAGTTAATGCCCAGAGTGAGGCTCAACGTCAGGAAACCCTTCGCCAGTCTGTGGCTGCACAGGCTGCAAGATCACGGGCTGTGAATCAAGCCAAGATGCGGGACCATGTCCTCCCCGAGTGGGCCCAGTCAGAGCAATCAGTGGCAGATGACGACCAAGAGAGGAGCGAAGAGAGCGAAGTCGAGAGTTTCGAATGTGTGGCATGTCACAAATTTTTCAAAAGCCAGAAGCAATTTGAGGCGCACGAACGTAGCAAGAAGCATTTGAAGGCAGTCAAACAGCTATGCTGGGAGATGCGAATGCAGAACGACGAATTGGATTTGGAGTCCGCTGATGACTCGAGTAACAATGCAGTCACAACTAAACCTCTTGAGGTTGATGACGGAAAATATGAGGTTTCTGCTGTCTCAGAGATCGATCTGGGATTAGACGCCTCCTTGAAGAGCCACGACATTGATGCCGAGGATCGAGAAAGTTCGCTTGGTCTAGAGGAAACAACTTCTCTTTCCGAGCTGAACTCCCCACCCTCTTCGCACAATGATGATTATGCCTCCAGGGAATATGTCGAGACGAGGCTTCGCACCGATATGGATTCTTTGTCCACAGGTGCCGAAGACTTCTCTGGTATGCCTGGTCGTCCGTTCTCTTCGGACCTCACCGAGCAGTCACCGACTCTCAAAATGGGCAAGGCCAAGCAGAAACGGGCGAAAAAGGCCTCGAAGCAAGCAGATCAGCCCACAGGGTTTATTTGTGCAGATTGCCAGGCTCCCTTCACATCCAAGTCTAAATTATTCGATCATATTAGAGACCTCGACCACGCACAACCCTTGACGGGGTCTGTTGCTAAGAAGGGGAGGAAACACTAGTAACACAACAGTGAGGCTCATTTACTGGTTTTCTTTTTTTTTTTCCTTCAAAAAAAAAAGACATTTAAAAAGATAGAAAGATATATCAGGTCCGTCGAGGCTTACATTTCTATTTTGTCTAGTTTAATAAGGCCGCATATGCCGGTTTGGAAATCCTCCCCTTCTTCCTAACACAAACCCAAACATCTAACCCAACCCAGCCCGCGAGTTCTTCACGACCTGCGCGACAGGCTGCAGAATTCCCTTGTTGTCGGCGGCACCCAGAGCAGTCCCTGTACTCCATCCCATCTTCTCCAGCATAGCCCGACCTCGGTTTTCAGCTCCGATTTCCGGAGCAGAGGCGCCCACCACATCGCCATCCATATATGAAGCAGCACCAGACTTTCCACGCTTGGTCTGGGAGAATTTCGGCACTTCCGTGCCCCATGATTTGAACAACCGACGGTTAAACTTCCTCCCGGATAAGAGCTCGTCAACGTTGGATATAGTCTTTGGTGTGTATCGCGGGGTGCGCACCGTCTTATTGAGGACCGGGAAGCGAGAAAGTCCATGGCCGCGTGACTGTGATTTCAGATTCAGCGCATTGGCCAATTCATGTATCAACTTTCTGCGTTGCTTGGTCATGGGTGGCAAGGACAGGCTATATTAAATTAGCGAGGTCCATGAGAATGAGCAGATATAAAACGAACCTATTTTTAGCAGACATAAGGAATGAGCGAATCTCGGTCATAAATTCCTCCATGTTCATTTCTTTAGGGTACTTGACCTTGAGGTCTGGGTTCCCTGCTTTTCTGCCTAATAGTCCTTGCGCCCGGAGCTCTGCCCGCTCCATCTTCCGCAGCTTCTTTTTGGTCCGGTCGTTTTGCCAGGCCTCCTGTAGCTCGATTTCGAACTCACTGTCCGATAGTACTGGGTCGGGGATGGACTGCTTGCCCTTGGTTTTTTTCCGTAGACTTGATCGGTCAAAGTCCATTATGTCAAACCCGAAATACGGGTCAGCCTCAAGAGCATCCACAAGTGCCGATGCCGACGGAAATGAAGGCTTTCCATAACGGGAACCCTTCTTGGTGGACCCAGAATATCCGTTTGCCAGGTCCTCAAGTAGCACAAAGTCTTCAAGGGTGTCGTCGTCTGATCCAGAGATGACCATATCGTCCTCGTCATCTTCGCTTGATGTTGGAATTGAATCATGTTCGGTGTCAATTTGCATTTGAGCTAGTGATTTGGGTGATTCAATTTTGGAGCCTGTGGGGCTCGAGGCCGACAGGTCTAGTTGCGTTGCAGCTTTTTCGACATCAATGCCACCTTCTAGGTTAATCTTTGCACCGGATGTCACTTCCTCGTGGTAGTCATTGTCGATGTTGGCGATATAGTCGGCTAGTGGGTCGGTCTCTTCTTCCGGTGGCCAGTCTGGTCTCTCGATGTTGAATTCAAGGTTGCCTGTAGGGGTAGCGGCAGCCGAAGGGTCCCGGGGCATATGGTCTAACGTCGGTGTGTGTAGTTTCTGCGTAAATGCCACAGTAGTCTTCTGCACAATTTCTTGGATCTCGTTCTGACGCGTTTCGATGAGAACGGGTTTTGTATTCCTCCTGCGGCCGGTGAACACAACCTCATCCTCACTCGAGTCGTCTATATCCGATATTTTGGACTTCAATACTGGGTCCGGGTGCTCGGTATGAACAGCCCCTTGTCCCTTTGAGTCGAAGACGAATGGGACCTCAATGTCGGCTTTTTTGTCCGGTATATTGTCGGTCTTCGGTTCTTCCCGATCCGCGTCTGATTTTGTCTGATCCTCGTCTGCTTGTTCCAATGTCGGTTCCAAGCTTCCTACGCTCACAAAGCGAACGGATTTGTGACGAAGGTTGCTGTCTGACCATGATCGCTGATGGGTTTCAGTATTCCGAGCTTCTTGCTGCATAGTAAACTGGTGTGGCGATGGGTCTTTTTTTTTTGGAACAAGTTAGTAACCATCAAATGAATGGGAGGACACTAGTTACCTCTATCCGATGGTGCCCGTCTAGTACGGGCCTTGAATTTCCCATGGCGGGCCATGGGTGTCGGTGAATCTGATCTGTTGATGGAGAAAGAAGTGATGGGGGGAATTCTTTTTGCCTTTCGGGTCCGGGCGGTGACTACGGACATTCTACAAAGGGTAACAATTAATACGTATGGTTCTATATGACCTATGTATTTTGTTATTCTTATTTTTATTTCGTCATTTCAAACTTTTTATGTTAGATTTTCAAAAACTAAATGACTGTTTCAATTGTAGAGTATACAGTGTAGACTTACAAAAACATTGCATGCACATTGTAGTCGGTGACGTCTTGGCTCGTGACTGAAGACTCCCCCTCACCTGGGCCTGTCCCGGGGAAAGAATATTCGACGTATTGTCTAGAGCTTTTACCGTTTGTATTTTGTATCTCCAATTTTTGTTTGGTGCTTTCCTCGATTATTTTTTATGGTGACTTGGTTGATCACTGGTTTTAAGTCGCCGAGTTAACTTCCAGTTTGGAGAGGGAGAGATATATATATATCTACTCACCTCCAATCTTGAATCACCCACCCCATCCACACCATAAACAACCATAACCACAACTGATCCACAGCAGAAAACTAGCACCAACCATGAATGTGGACATGGAAAAGTGCAAACGCATAGTACAATACTTCTGGGACCCAGAACCCAAAAATGATGTACCTGCGGCATCGATATGGTGCTTGGGCAGGGAGTATGCCCCGCAACCATCCAGTGACCAGGCCAGTGAGTCTTGCCTAAGTGAATACATATGTATATAACATCCACCTCTAACATCCCATACAGCCAACAACCCACACAGCCCCCCAAGACTGCCCGATGCTAGCACATCTAATGACACGGCATGGCCAAAGGCATTTCTCTCTGATTTTGGATCGAGGATCTGGATCACATATCGATCAAATTTCACACTGATCCCACGAACAAAGACACCAGAAGCAACATCCTCAATGACACTGGGGGTACGTCTGAGAAGTCAGCTGATGGACCCCCAGGGCTTTACATCAGATACAGGGTGGGGCTGCATGATCAGATCTGGACAAAGCCTTTTGGCAAATACGTTTTCAGTTCTGTTACTAGGACGAGGTGAGATACATCTAATCATGTCTCAAAAAATACCATCCTCAAAAAAAAAAAAAACCAAAAACAAAAACAAAACTTCTATAAAAACAAGAGCTAATCAGATATACCAGACTGGCGTCGAGGGGAGAAAGTGGAGGAAGAATCAAAGTTAATATCGATGTTCGCCGATCACCCCGAAGCTCCCTTCTCTATACATCAATTTGTCAATCGCGGTGCAGAATCATGCGGGAAATACCCAGGTGAATGGTTTGGGCCCTCGGCAACTGCTAAATGTATCCAGTACGTGTTACCAGATGTTGAGCCATAGCGTGATGTTGATGGTGATAGGCTACTCTCAACCCAAAGCAAGGTCCCCCAACTCAGGGTCTATGTAACCAGTGACACATCGGACGTCTATGAAGACAAATTTGCACATGTGGCCCACGATAGGTCAGGTCGAATTCAACCAACGCTCATCCTGATTGGAACCAGGTTGGGGATCGATAATGTCACTCCAGCGTATTGGGATGGACTCCGAGCTGCACTGGCATATCCCCAATCCGTTGGCATTGCAGGGTAGGTTCATTTCTCTGTTCGATATGAAGTGTGCGCTAACAAAAATAGCGGACGCCCATCGGCATCGCATTACTTTGTAGGGGCCCAGGACTGCCACCTCTTTTTCCTTGATCCGCATACCACCCGACCGGCAACATCATACCGACCAGATGGGCTTTACACCCAAGAGGAACTGGATAGCTACTACACCAGCCGACTGCGGAGAATCCATATCAAGGACATGGATCCCAGCATGCTGATTGGATTTCTCATCAAGGATGAAGATGATTGGGCTGACTGGAAGAAACGAATTCAATCCACGGCTGGGCAGCCCATCGTGCACATCTTCCCCAGTCAGCATCAGCCAGATCATGGCCATGTTCGGGCGGAGGCTCTGGATGAAGTTGAGGCGCTGGACGATTCAGATGAGATGGAGTGAGATATAGACAAACCAGGAAATGCAGGTTGCTTCCTTTTCCCCCTTTCTTCTAGTTTGCGCCTTGGAAAATCTACCAGGAAAGAGAAATAGAATCATGATGCAATGCAATTAAGCATTTGGAATTTCGCGTTCTAGTAGGGGAGGCCAATCCATGCCTGCCCCAGACCCGAGTTATGTTACACCGCATTCACGTATCGAGTGGTAACCATTCAAAAAAAATCACCCATCGGGGAAAAGAAAATTCAAGCCATCCCATGACGCATTAGAAACCCGCAAAACACCCATAACCGACCACCTCAGAGCCCATAACAGATCAAGAGGTAGTAAAAACAAAAGCAAGCTGGAAAGAAAACGTAAAGAAGCCGCTTATTTGGCGGAAGAAGAGTACTTGGTCACAGCCTTGGTGCCCTCAGACACGGCGTGCTTGGCCAGCTCACCGGGGAGGATGAGACGGACAGAGGTCTGGATCTCCCGGGAGGAGATGGTGGACTTCTTGTTGTAAGCAGCCAGCTTGGAGGCCTCGGTAGCGACACGCTCGAAAATGTCTGGAAAATGAACAAGTCAGAAAAGGTGACGTGACAAACGCGCAAACGCGTTTATCTCCGAGGAAAAACATACCGTTGACGAAGGAGTTCAGGATGGACATGGCACGAGTGGAGATACCAGTGTCGGGGTGGACCTGCTTGAGGACTGGAAATGGAGTTAGTACGGACGCGTTTCTTTTTTCTCGGATTGAGGTTGTTTTCAGGAATCAACTCACCCTTGTAGATGTAAGAAGAGTAGGTCTCCTTGCGGGTCTTGCCGCGCTTCTTCTTCTCTCCAGTGGCAGCGGTGGCAGTCTTCTTGCCAGCCTCCTTCTTCTCAGCAGGGGCCTTGCCGCCAACGGGGGCCTTGCCACCGGTGGAGGGCTTCTTCTCAGCAGCCTTGGGGGGCATTTTGAATGTGGTTTGAAAAGTTGGTTGAGAAAAAATGAGTTGAAAGAGTAAAGAGTAAAGATGGATGAAGCGTGTGGGTGGGAAACGGAGATGGAATGTGGAAGGTGAAGTTAGAGAGACGCGGTGACGAGGGGAGACAGCGTCTTTATACTCGTATTCCAAAGGGCAGTTGATCCTGGAGGGGGTGCAAAGGAGGCCGAATTTCAATACGGTAATAGTTTGGTATGATCTGTATGATTAAACCGACATTGACGCGTCTCAAGGTGGGAAAGGTGGGGTATAATCACGCTCAGCTGACTGTCACGTATGGTAATAGGTTTATATTACCACACCATTCCCAAAGCGGAATGTCTGATCTGATTGATCATTGGCTGCAACATCTAAGCGAGACCGTGATCTGGATGGCCCATTGATGCCGTCCCAACGTCACCCTCACCGCGTCCTTATAAAGGTCCTCCGCTTCCACACGCTCTCCCACCTGCTCTTGCGACTTTACACCATAACCCAAGCTCTCCACCTTCAAACAAACTTCTTTTCTCTTCTTTAAAACCTCCCCCCCTTTTTCAAATCCAACCATCAAAATGACTGGCGGAAAGTCCGGCGGCAAGGCTAGCGGCAGCAAGAACGCGCAGTCGTAAGTTGTTTACATTTCGCATCTTATATGTACGTTTCATACTGACATCAACATCTTCAGCCGTTCCTCCAAGGCTGGTTTGGCCTTCCCCGTTGGCCGTGTCCACCGTCTGCTCCGCAAGGGCAACTATGCCCAGCGTGTCGGTGCCGGTGCTCCCGTTTACCTCGCTGCTGTCCTCGAGTACCTCGCTGCTGAGATTCTCGAGTTAGCTGGAAACGCCGCTCGTGACAACAAGAAGACCCGTATCATTCCCCGTCACCTCCAGCTTGCCATCCGCAACGATGAGGAGCTGAACAAGCTCCTGGGTCACGTCACCATTGCCCAGGGTGGTGTTCTCCCCAACATCCACCAGAGTACGTTATCCCACCCAGTTTTCTATTATTGTGTCATACACTAACATTGTTTCCAGACCTTCTCCCCAAGAAGACTCCCAAGGCCGGCAAGGGCAGCCAGGAGCTGTAAGGGTTCTCTCTTTTTTCGCGGGTTGTTTGTTTTCTTTTCCGGCGCGGATTGGTTCTTTGACACGATAATGGGGTTATGGGACGGGCACGTTATGGCTCTGCGTTTTCTCTTTTTTTCATCAATTTCCTGGTTGTACATTATGTCTACGGACATGGAATGATACCGACGACCTTAACTCGCTTGAGGGATTTCAACTTTCGGATACTAGCCCTGGGCATGAGCCCAAATCAATGAAAACTCCAGGTCTTTCAAGTGTTAAATTATGCCTTGCCTTTCGTACTTCATGCATACATATATACTTGTATGAATGATATTATTGGCGACTTGCTGCTCTTGTGGAGGCTACTGTACATGAACGAAAATGTTGATTCTAGATTCTGGTGGGGTACTCTACATCTGCAGCAACTATACGCATACTTCATGTTGTATAGTTCATGTTTCCAATTGACCCAATCCTCATATTGTGTTTTGCGATATTGACTTGACTTAGTGTGCACCGGGAGGTTGGGCATCTATATTGTTTCATTGGTTAGTTCAAATCTAAGGTTGCATGGGATGTAAACGTACATGGCAGGATTCGGGCCGGCAGGTTGCGCTCCCATTTGTTGCCGCCGGGCGCAGTAGGTGCCCGGTATGGGTCAGGGTGCTTCCAGGTCGCCAAGAGCTTCTCTGTCTCGCGCAGCAAAACCTAGAGCATGTGTTAGGTTTGCCAACCACGTATTTCAGTTTCACATACCTGTTGCTGGCGAGGATCGCGGACGTCCTTGTTGGCTTCGAAAAGGGATCGGATATAGACTGCTTGTCCACGCCAGATCTGCCGGTGGACGGCCCAGTCAAGAGACAGTTTCAGGGAGCGCCGGTAGAGCGACCTAGAGTAGATCAGTGAACAGTCCTCTAGGGAGACACCAGCCTACTCACTTTACCACGGAGGTGGACATTGTGCTCAAGTTTTGTCCGGGTCCAATTCCGGCCAGCTGGAACAGGAAAAGGAAAATAAGAAAGCGTGTGTGTTGATACACAGGTCTGTCAAACCAGAGATGACAATCTTCGTGGAGATTGTTAGGGTTCCTGGTGGACAATGGGTTGGGAGTTGAGGGTTTCAATGTCGTCAGGTTGACTATTCTGGGCCTCCTAATTCGTTCGGCATCAATTTGCTCAAATGGTCACTGCCCACCCCCGTGGCAGAAACTGCTGGACTGGTCTCTCCCCGTCGCCGTAGTGTAAGAAGAATAGTCCGCCTCTGCCGGAAGGGTGCCCGGTTTACCTTAAGGACCCGATCTAATCCGAGCTTCATCTTCTTTGTTTCCTCTAATTTTTAGAGTTGAAGCTTTTTCTCTTACCTACAAAACCGGTTCGGCTTTTCCCCAGCTGAGTAAATTTTGCTTTCATCATGGCTTCTCGAATCTCTATTGCGCGCCTCTCTGGCCAGCGCTTCTCGGCTGTGGCCAGAACCGCTCCTCGGGCATCAAGCCAGTTCCGCAATCTCAAAGGATTGTCTACCCTCACGGGGAAGACCCCAGCTCGCTCATCTTCGGGCTTGTTGCAGGTCTCTACATCCGGGTAATTATCTATGTCATTACCATCCGTCGCAATTTTGGCTCATACAACCCCATAGCATCCATGTCTCGCGACTTAACCTTGCTCCTCTGGGAGGCCACCAACTTCGCACCTATGGTAAAAGTTTTTATTGAGCAATCTTGTTGGTCAATTGCTAATAGTGCTTAGCCGACTCCATCATCAAGGTCCCCAGCATGGCTGAGTCGATTACAGAGGGTACCCTCAAGCAGTTTTCAAAACGTATGGTGCTTTAGCCGTGGTTTGAACATTTGACATTTACTTATTCTGGTATAGAGGTTGGCGATTTCGTCGAGCGCGACGAGGAGATTGCGACAATTGAAACAGACAAGGTAAATATTAGCTCTGTCCCCACTCCTCACGACTAGTACCGTTGCTAACATAGATTTTCTGTTAGATTGATGTTTCGGTCAATGCCACGGAGTCTGGTACCATCAAGGAGCTCCTCGTAAACGAGGAAGATACCGTTACTGTCGGCCAGGATCTCGTCAAGATCGAGGTTGGCGCCGCTCCCGAAGGTGGAAAGAAGGACGAAGGTGCCGAGAAGCCCAAAGAGCCCGAACCCAAGGAAACTGAGCCCAAGAAGGATGCTTCTCCCGCCCCCGCCGAGACCGAGAAGCCCAAGGAGCCCGAACCCAAGAAGGCTGCGCCCCCCAAGGAGGCACCCAAGGCGGAGTCCAAGCCCCAAGCCGCTGAACAACCAGCTCTTGGTGGCCGCGAGGAACGCCGGGTATGTTGACCGCCAATAGGCCTTTGACCTTGACTTAAACTAATTTTGGTCTAGGTCAAAATGAACCGTATGCGTCTGCGTATTGCCGAGCGCCTGAAGCAGTCCCAGAACACCGCCGCTTCTCTCACCACTTTCAATGAGGTTGACATGTCCTCGCTGATGGAGTTCCGGAAACTGTACAAAGATGATGTGCTCAAGAAGACCGGTGTGAAGCTTGGTTTTATGAGCGCCTTCTCCCGTGCTTGTGTGCTTGCCATGAAGGATATCCCCGCTGTCAATGCTTCCATTGAGGGTCCTAACGGCGGTGACACCATTGTCTACCGCGACTACGTTGACATAAGCGTTGCAGTCGCCACCGAGAAGGGTCTTGTGACTCCTGTTGTCCGTAACACCGAAGGCAAGGATCTTGTTGGAATTGAGAAGGCCATTGCCGATCTCGGAAAGAAGGTGAGCAGTTGTTTTTCTGGAGGGGATGTCCAGTTTACTGACCTGTAATAGGCTCGTGACAACAAGTTGACCATTGAGGACATGGCCGGTGGTACCTTCACCATCAGCAACGTATGTTTCCTGTGTTTGTGTGTTTAAGAATAATACGGCTAACTTATCCCCAGGGTGGTGTCTTTGGTTCGCTGATGGGCACACCAATCATCAACGTTCCCCAAACGGGTCAGTTCTTTCGTACTATTTTTTTGGGGTTTCTGAATCTAATTTTGTCTAGCTGTCTTGGGTCTCCACGCCATTAAGGACAAGCCTGTCGCTGTGAACGGCAAGATTGAGATCCGTCCCGTACGTACAGGCAACCCAATCACTTTTTCTTCTGTTTACTGATATTTCTAGATGATGTACCTGGCTCTCACCTACGATCACCGTCTCCTGGATGGTCGTGAGGCCGTTACTTTCCTTGTCAAGGTATGTCTACCTCCTCGTCCGCCTGAATCAATCACTAATCCCATCGCAGGTCAAGGAGTACATTGAGGACCCCCGGCGCATGCTGCTTGGCTAGGTAGCATGAGTGTATGCCGCCTTTTATTATCTGTGTTCTCGTACCTAGAGCGGCCTTGCGCCCTTTGTAAATTATTATGTTCCAAGATATAAATGCCGTGTCAACGACAGGTTTTGTGGTAGGCTCTAAGTACTCCTCTTGTGTTATGTGTTATTTTTTTTCTTCTCTCTCGATCTGAATCGGCTGTTAAAAATTGATTGGCATCAAACAATCAATATGTGATCGAATTGGTGTACATGTGGTATTGCGCTTCATACAACTCGTGATCCGCGATTCTGGTTCTCTCTCGTGTGTCTGGTTCACTTGGCATCATTACACATAGAAGCACATAGAAGGGCATGTTCTCGTATCTTTTGGGTATGGAATTAAAATCCACAATAGTCTCGGACCCGCTGTGTCTCCTCCTGGGTCAAACCTTCCAGCTGACCATGCTCCAGCTGAAGAAGAAGAGGCGCATCCAGGACCTCCATGAGATCCTCAAAAAAATCGACATAACGATGCTGCAGCCATTGGAGAGGAAACGTCTCATCAACCTCTTCTCGAGTCATTGGATTCGCGGTACCAAATGGGGGTGGCATGTAGTCCAGGAACATGGTACGGCTGACCTCCCACCATATATCGAGTTCACTGTCGTTGGTTCTCCAGTTGCAGAGTCTTTGGAGCTGGTCTGGGAAGCGCACTTGTTCTTCCAGCATCGCATGAACCATGAAGTGGGCACCAAGGTCGAACCAGCGTCTCCGGGATACGTGGGCGACTGCATGGTGACAGAAGTCCATGAACTGAACTGCGATATCAGACAGGGGAACAAAGTGACCGAGGTCGCGATCTTTGGGAGGGTCCCAGTGGAGAAATAGATTGGACAGGTAGAAGATGCGCAATTTGAGGTCCAGGTCCCAGGGCAGGGGACCTTCCAGACGATGACCGAGGAGCCGCCGGTGGAATTCTAGAGACGTAGTCAGTATGGATGATCCTTTGGTGGGAAGTTCCGGTGCTTACGTTCAACCATAAGCGCAAACCATTCAATGTCCTCGGTTGGTCTTGCTTGGTAAATTGCTTCTATGAGCCCGCTGATACACAGGCAGACCATGTAGTCGAGGATCAACAGATCCACGGTGGCTTGAACGCCAGGGTTTCGTTCCGCCATTTTGAAGTCAACACTGAAGCGGGGAGGATATCAGATGAGAGGTATGTGAGCGGTCCTAGAGGGGTCCATGGTGCCCTAAAAATGCAGCTGTTCCCACGGCGATTGTGTCAACACGCTTAGTCGGCACGCTTAGTCGGCGCGATTAGTCGGCGATGTCAATGTCTGCGGACCAATATGGTTGTGATATCGACTTCACGTGACTCTGTCCTCTGTGCCATTCTATCATTCTATGGAGTATCATTGCACTCGCTTCTGATATATTATTACAGAACTTACTTTTGACTGGATATAATATTAGAGATATAGATTCAAAGGTATAAATTCCGTAGTAACTGTTTTTAAGTGTCACGTGTAGTGAATGCGGATATCATGGCGTCATCTATATATAATCACACTTATGTGCATACTATGTAATTGACCAAACAATAGGAACCCTTCCCTCTTTCACCATCCGACATTCTTCAGCCTATGCTTAGTCTGCGCAACAAACCCAAATTTAGCCTCAGTAAAGCAACACGGGCCATGACCATGGCGTGGTATTGTTCTGGATCCACCAACACCGAGTTGGTTGAGAACCTATTCAAGGCTGGACTGATCCATAATGAGCGGGTGAAAGATGCCATGATAGGAGTGAGTATTGAGTATATTATATATCTGATTCATTGTTCTTTCTAACATGGCTAAGGTTGATCGAGCCCATTATGCTCCATCACGGCCCTATTCGGACTCGCCTCAACCCATTGGATATGGGGCCACCATATCAGCACCGCACATGCATGGCCATGCATGTGAGTATCTGGTTGATCATCTTAAACCAGGTGCTCGGGTGTTGGATATTGGATCTGGTTCAGGATACCTGACCCATGTCTTTGCCAATTTGGTGACCAGTTCATCCGGCAACGCCCAGGGACAGGTGATTGGCATTGACCATATCCCCGAGCTGACAGACCTGGCTCGTACCAACATGGACAAGTCGAAGCAAGGCACTGAGTTCCTGGCATCCACAACAGTCAAGTTTATCACTGGCGACGGACGCCTTGGATGGAAAGAAGGTGCACCGTACGACGCCATCCATGTTGGCGCCGCCGCCGACAAGCTTCATCCAACTCTGGTGGACCAACTGCGTGCTCCTGGAAGACTCTTCATCCCGGTAGAATCGGAAGACCACCAGAGTGCCATGTATAATCTCAGCGGGGGTCAATATATTTGGGTGGTGGATAAAAAGGAAGACGGATCCATCCACAAGGAGAAAGTCTTCCAGGTGAGCTACGTGCCCTTGACAGATGCTCCAAAAGGATGAGATTACAATCCAAAACACTTACTTTAATTTTTTTATAATTGCCTTTACTTCGATTCAAATGAAAAAGAAAATGAAAAAAAAAAAAAAAAAAAAAATGTGAGTTCATGTGCTTTCCTAAACGTATTTCTTATGTGAGCTTCAAAAAAAAAATCAATCCATAGCTTTCCTAATACATTGAGAAAACTCCACGAACACCTGGTATGTTTCACAGTAAAAGACAATCCGATCAGCGGAATCCACCAGGGAATTTGAAACCTCCCTGGAATTGTGGACCACCCTGTTGGAAGAAGAATTGTTGACCACCACCGAATGGATTGCCCTGGAACTGACTGCCCCGCTGTTGCGATTCGGGATCATTGGGATCGTCGCCGTTGTCAAACCGTGTTCGGAGTTCGGAGTCAATTAGAACCTCGTAGGCCTCGTTGATGGCCGCCATCTTTTTCTCTGCTTCTTCCTTGCTTACACCCTGGGCGTGAGCCTTATCAGGATGATGTTGCTTCACTAGCTGGCGATACGCGCGCTTGATCGTCCGATCATCCGCATCGCGGCTAATACCAAGGACCTTGTAGTAATCTTTCTGCTTGGACCGTTTGAGTAGGGTCTGAGCCTTTTGTTGGAGAGATTGCGCCTCTTGGGAACTGGGGTGGTGCTCCTTGGCCGATTCGAGAGTACGTATGGCGTCCTCGAATCGATCCTCGTCCAAAGCGATCTGGGCTTTATACAAGAGCCCGGCAAGCGAGTGAGGAACAAGCTGGAGAGCTTCGGCGCAGTAAGGACCAGCCTTTTTGATCATACGCATCTGGGTATGTTAGTGACAAAAAACCAAGCCATGTGACGTGGGTACTCACTTCACGGTAAGCCTCGCAGGTCTTCTCGACCAGGAACGTGTAAAGATTATTTGGTGCCAGGCGATGAATATGGTTAGCCTGTCTTGCTTCTTCAACATCGGCCTTGACGTCTGCAATCAGTCCACTGGATTGACTATCCCCGACCATGACATTTGCTGCATTGCTGAACTTGCGTGCGCCCAGGGCAGTATGCACCTTTTCTAGCTGTTTGGCAAGCTTCCGTTCACGTCGATAGAGACGATTGCACGGTTTTGAGTCGGGATCAGCATGGAGACATTTACGAATTTGAGCAAGGCCACGGTCACTGTCTCCTAGAGAGTAGAACAGCATGGACGACATTTGCAAGTGAGGTTCAACCAAGCTCGGGGACATTTGTAGAACATGTGCCAAATCACTGAGCCCTTCTTCTGTCTCGCCCTTTTCAAAGTGACAATGGGCTCGAGCCTGCCGTAGAGGCAGTGCCGTATTTGCCTTTAGGATAGCCACGTTTGCCTCCGAGACACACGTCTCCCAGGCGCCCTGCTTTTCGGCATTGAGAGCGAAGGTGGCCGCATCCCGTGCGGCTTCTAATTCCTTGTAATCATCCGTCGACTTCTTTCCGGCCCGCTCGAGATCCTGCAAGGCCTCTTGCCAATGCGCGGAGCGTGCGTTTAAGCGGGATCGCTGTAGAAGAGCGCCCTCAAAGTCCGGCTTGAGCTCTAGAACTCGATCAAAGTCACTTGAGGCTTGTGAGTTTTTGCCGATGGACAGATAAGCCGCGCCCCGTTGGAAGATAGTGATATAGTTGGTTGGGTCGCGAGAGACGGCGGCGTCGAAGTATATCACGGCATCTCGGGGTGAGCCCTGCGCGAGGTGGGCTTTGGCGGAAGAGATCAATTCAGAAAGAGGTGTATCCGAGGGGATTTGAATGGCGTATCCAACCGAGAGACAAGCCAGAAAGGCCGTGAGTGATTCCAAGGAAACGAGCATCTTGAGGGTGTATGCGACGGAATAACGCAGTAATGGAGGTGTAAATGAGGGTTTTGGTGCAGAATCAGTCTCCCTAGGAGTACAAGAAGAGGGGCATAATCCAAAAAGAAAGCCTAGGTCAAAATAGCAAAATAGCAAAGAGCAAAGTGCAAAGCGCAAAGAACAATGAAACAAGGAAACTCGAAGCTGGACGAGCATACTTCGTGGCCTTTACGCCTCGCCTCGTATTGTTCCGTTACCGTCATGTGACATGGAATTGTCTCCAATCGCCTTCGCTCCGAATTTTGGTCTTCAATTACTTTGAAGTATGCTCGTCAAGTCAATATGTCGAACTATCTTGCGGCCTAGGCTTGGTTTGAAATTGTCGCCTTTGCGAGGTGTACATACCGGTAAGACGAGTTTGGTTACTTTCTGACCAATGCTAATTGCAACGAAGCATCCGATTCTGCCTTGTCTCCAGCCCTTTTAACCAGAGCACGCCTACTTGCAGATGAACATACAAAGCTTGCGGAACGATTGGGAGAGTCCTTTGACGCAAAAACCGCCAAGCGAGCCGGAGAACTGGCTCCGGTTGCAAATATCTTGAAAGAATGGGTCAATGCCAACGATGTATGCGCCTTGGAGACCTTTGTTGGAGCCCTACTAATTCATTCCACTAGTCTATCGTTGAGCTCAAATCTCTATTAACGGATCCCAGCACCGATGCCGAACTACGGTCTTTGGCAACAGAAGACCTCGAGAGCAGTCGCGATGCCTTGCCTACGATATCAGACCGACTGAAGAAGGCTCTCATTCCGCGACATCCATTTGCAGACCTTCCTTGCTTGCTTGAAATCAGACCTGGTGCAGGCGGAGATGAAGCAGGCTTATTTGCTTTTGAGATGTTACGGATGTATGTTGCCTTCTGCTCCCGAAGGGGCCTCCGCCCAACAATCTTGAAGCAGGACACCGAGGTCGGCCCGTCCGACGACCGTCTCAGTGAAGCGGTAATTGAAATCGAAGCCAATGGTGCATACGATATATTACGAACTGAATCGGGGGTACATAGGGTGCAGAGAGTACCCGCAACCGAGACTAAGGGTCGCACCCATACCAGCGCCGTCAGCGTAATGGTCTTGCCGAGTTTCCCAGAGGACGGCAGTGAGATGGATAGTGCCCTGAACTTCGAAGATCCAAGCAGCGATTACTATATTGACCCGCAAGAGGTGCGGGTTGAGAAGATGAGGGCTGGAGGTGCTGGTGGGCAACACGTCAACAAGACTGAGTCCGCCATTCGACTGACCCATATCCCCACGCATACGGTTGTCTCTATGCAAGACGAACGGTCCCAGCAGGCCAATCGGAGAAAGGCGTGGCAAATGCTACGGGCAAAACTGGCTGAAGCCCGACAAGAAGCTCGTGAGCAAGAGCTTATGCAGCTTAGACGAGGTATACTGGGAGGTGTGGCCAAAATGGGTCGAGGTGATAAGATTCGAACCTACAATTTTGGTCAAAGTCGCTGCACCGACCATCGCACAGGAATCACGATCCACAATCTGGATGGTATTCTTGATGGCGGTGATGGCTTGGAGACCGTGATGGACAGTGTGCGGACTTGGATGGCTGATAGTGAAGTTGAGGCCATGGTTGCCGAGGACATGGCAAAAGCGAAGAGTAAATAGCAGAGTCATTCCTTTTCATGTACAAAGATACCATGTATTCTATTAAGGCCCGAGTCTATTGATGGTCTACAAATACTTTCGCTCCGGATCCAAGATGTCCAGCCCATCCATAGCCTTCTCATACCTGCCCAGCAGTTAGCAACTTTCATAGTATGACTTGGGTCGGTCACAAACATGGTGAACACAATTCCTCCACTTAAGATCAATCTCGCAAGTCGCGGCATGGCGCCAGACCACAAAGTGAAGACACCTTCATCCTTGACGATTCTTGTTGCGCAAACAATGCTATTCTTGTAATGCTTGCTGGCCTCAAGAGATTGCATTCTGATATCGTTAGTACCTTATATATACCATTAGCGCGTGGGGATATTAACCTTGTCTTGACCGTGTCCAATGGTTGGGTCACATAACTGATTCATGTTAGTTTTTATTAGTTTTTGATTTTCTTCAGGGAGCAAGTCTTACACAGTGATGAGCCCTGCAATTCCACCAATTCCAAAGGTGGCTGCAGTGCCCAGCTTTTCGCCTGGCGCCGTATAGCCCTCTGCAAACTGCTTCAATGTTGTGTAGGCCGTGAATCGGGTTGCCGAGTTGGCGGCCTGTCTTGCTGTAGTGGGCACAAAGCCTTGGAAGAAGCCCTTGACACCTCTTTCCTTGAAAATGAGCTTGCTACCGTGTAAGAAACCACGCATCCGAGGGTTGGCAGATTTTCGGTCGTCGATCCTATAGTTTGGTCAGTAGAGCCAGCCGGAAATAGGACGGGAAACTTACAATTGAGTCTTGATGCTTTCAAAGGGGGTGACGGCAAAAAGAGACTCGGTGAAACCAGCACCAAATCCAGCAACAACCGTCCTTGGTCCTGAGATCTTGCCGTTCTCATCCTGGAGAACTGATTTGATGGCATCGAAAGCGACGAACCCTAGTATGTATCAGCGGCACTCCATACAATCGCGGGAGGTAGACGCACGAATTCCAGCCTTGAGCGAGTTTCCGATAATCAGTGTTGTACATCCTGCATACCACTGGCTTCCAAACGGCGGCCATGGTAGCTTTTGCCCGTGGGTAAGCTGGCGATTGAGTTGCGTCCGGGTCTTTGCAACTGCATAGCATTAGCGATTATTGTTGTAAGACATTCGAAGGATCATACATTCGGCCGGGTATGTAATCGCTGTAGTATACGGTTAGCTAGCGGCCTGGTAGGGTTCATTTGAGCTCTTTACCGATCTCTACGGCTCCGGCGGTGGACCCCGCAAGGATGGAGCGAAGGGCGCTGGGCTATTTATTGGTGAGCCTCAAGTAGAATAGATTATTTGACTGGAGAACAAACCTTTGCTTTTTGATCCTTATTCACCGTCGTCATTTTTCTTGGGTAGTTTGGAGGAATTGCAGTCGCCGAACCTCGGAGATCCAGCGATATACGGCCTTCGGTACGTGCCATTACCGCAGTCGAGCCAGGGAGATCAGGGAAGCCAGTTATCTTAACACAACTCATCACATACATATATACAATATATATATATATATATATGAAGAGTATATCGAGTTAATCAACCTCTACAACTTATTACAGTGGAACAGATTGGAGGGATATTGTCAATTCACTAGCTGAATCTACCTAGATCCGTTAAACAACTAGTGCTCCTCCATTTTTTTCGTTCTTTTTTCGGTGTTTTTTTTTGAGAGTGGGAGAGTGGTGTTCACCGTGTCTCTAACAACGGCAATCACACAGAGTGTAGACAGTAATGGGGTTAAGCATGGTAAGGTGGTGGGAGGACTCCAGGCTGCCAACAAAAGGTTGGTAAAGGGTGAGATCATCACTCGTTGCGTAGGGAAAAAAAAAAAAGAGCTCCCCTGGGAAAAAATCGCATGAGACGCTTGTCCTGTGGAACGCCATTTGCCTTGCAAATCCCCGAAACACAGAATACAGCCTCGGAAAACGAAGAGCGTGGGCGCCGAAAATGCATTTTCCTCAAGGATCCAACTCATAGGACAAAGGGACCGGAACGGAAAAGACATATGATACATTGACACCCCCGTATCATTATGACCGGATAATCAATGCCGGGATAGCCCGGCAGGATCTCGAAGATAGAGCGGAATAGAATAAGAGAATCGAGGAAACCAAAGCGCAGCGATATGAAAAGAAAAGTCTTGTCCGGGCGTGTTTGGGTCTAAGAGATGGGCGCCTGGGGTTGACCCGGGTTTGGTTGACCAAATGTGATCCGGTTGGCGTCATTTTGTGCCCCACGACGTTGGCCCTGTCCACGACCACGGTAAGAACCGCGTCCCCGATTATTGTAGTATTGGCCATGCTGTTGGCCATGCTGTTGGCCGTGTTGTTGACTTTGCGGTTGGCCGTTGTGGTTGTTCCGACGAGGTTGACGATCTCCGTTCATGTTCACGGATCCAGCTCCAGTCTGAGGTGGAGGGTTGGAGATGGGTCGAGGGATGTTCTCGGGAGAATCATAGACATAAAGCTTCTTGTCAATATTCTGAGGGATGGGCTGAATTTCAGTACCCAGTTCTTGCTCAATCTTGTACAGATTGAACCGATCCTCCCAGTTGATGAGGTTAATGGCGAGACCCAAGTGTCCGAAACGACCCGAACGACCGATACGGTGAAGATAGGTCTCCGCGTTCTTCGGGAAATCAAAGTTGATCACAACGTTAACTGCTTGAATATCGATACCGCGAGTCAACAGGTCAGAGCAAACCAAGTTGCGGCATACGCCATTGCGGAAGTCATGGAAGACTCGGTTACGGTGCTGCTGAAGCATCCGAGCATGAGAGTAAAAGCATGAATAGCCGAGTTCGGTGATCTTTTTGGCCAGAAGCTCAACCCGGTTGGTTGAGTTGCAGAAAATGATCGACTGGTTAATCTGGAGCTTGGAGAAAAGAGTGTTCAAGCAATGAACCTTTTGCTTCTCCTCAACGAAAGCATAGTACTGGGTGATACCGCGCAGGGTCAGCTCGTCCATGAGGTTGATTTCGTAAGGGTTGCGCATGTGCTTGTCCTTGAATGACTTGACAATCAAAGGGAAAGTGGCACTGAAGAGCATGACCTGGCGATCCTTGGGGTGGAAGGACATAAGTTGCTCAATGACAGGAGTAAACTCGGGAGATAGCAATTTGTCTGCTTCATCCATGACAAATGTCGGGCATTCGGCCAAGTCGGCGACACCTTTGCTAGCCAAATCCAATACTCGTCCGGGGGTTCCCACAAGAATGTGAACAGGGTCATTTAACCGGATAATGTCGTCCATCAAACCAGTTCCACCAGTGGTTACCATGACATTGATACCCAGGTGTTTGCCTAGGGTCTTGCAGACCTGTGATGTCTGGAGTGCGAGCTCTCGTGTGGGGACCAGGATCAAGGCTTGGGTCTTTGTACTTTTGGGGTTGATGCGCTCGAGGGTGGGAATAACAAAGGCAGCAGTCTTTCCAGTGCCGTTCTTGGCTCGGGCCAAGATGTCTCTGCCTGTGAGGGCAACTGGTATCGTCTCTTCTTGGATAGGGGATGGCTTTTCAAATCCAGCCTCAAAAATGCCCATCATGAGTTCACGTTTGATGTAGAAGTCCTCAAATTCGAGGCCTTTTGTGGCGGTGACATCCTATTCAGAGTCAGTATTTTGGCATTGACTGACACTAACAAAATACTCACCTCAGTTTGTGGGCGAGCATCTTTGGGGGGGGAGATTCAATGTGTCCTGCAGTCTTTGCTCTGAGGTTGCTTCCCTGGTCAAGTCAGATTTGTCTGAGGGCAAAAAAAACGTGATTGACTTACAGCTTAGTATTGCCGAGTTGTGCAGCAAGCGCGTCGGCCATTGTGCCGATAAGGTGCTAGGGAGGTGGGAAGCAAGTTTGAGGTGACCGATTTTGTTTGCGATCAAAGATATGTATGAAAGGGTGTGCGCGGAATAGAAGAGGAATATTTTGAAAGAGGTTTGAGGTGACGGAAATGTGAGGAGAGGAGAGGGATGTTTGTCGAAACCAATAAAGTCAGGTTGTAGGGGACGAGAGATCGGGTATTCAATGAAATGAAGCTTCTGTGGGAACCAAGGAAGATTTCTGATGCCAAAGCTGGGAGAGTTTACAGATAGGATAAAGAATGGTAGAAACCAGTTTTGTTGACAAGAGGGGGAAAAAAGAGTAGGAAGGTAGGAGAGGTTGAGATTATGATGGCGGGGAGCGAAGAGGTTTGAGGTAAAGAGTGAAGCTAAACGTTCCATGGTTATGGTCACGTGCCACTCCACTACTACACACTCTTGGAAGGTATCTAATATGAGAATATACATAGTTTCAAACATGGCTAAACATGGAATTTTTCAAGGGTATTTCGCTGCAAATAGGACTACAATTCACGAGTTCAGCGCCGGAAGGTTAGTGTCGTTTGGCCACGCTCTGGCTCTGCCAATTCCTTCACTCTGACATCCGCAGAGATGGTGATATCGGTCTTGCTACCAGGTGTGATCAGAATGAACTGTCGCCCAATAGATCGTCTAGCGGCAACCATCTAGAATAGTCATCAGTCAGCGAGGATCCTTAGGAAGGAGAAGTGGCACTCACAAGCATGTCAATCGCCATCTTTCGGTTGATATGATCCATATACACATCACTTTGAAAGTCAGCGTGATAACAAATCAGAATATAAAGAAAACTTACAATTCATCAAGACAACGGATCGGAGATCCCATGGCTTCCCAAAGAGACAATAACAGACAGACTTGCGAGAACGACTTTTCGCCACCGGACAGTGTCTTTGCACCTCTCCCGGTGCTATCATCTTTGGTAATATCAGGTTCAACCTAGACAGTAGTCAGCATTGATCGGTCCATTTCCCCGAGGTTTTGGTGAACAGGACTTACTTGTAGATCCAGAAGTTTGTTGGTATGGTCAGCCAGAAGCCGACCACGGAAACTTCTCTCACTCAAGAGATAGGTGAATTGAGCTTTGGCTCGAGACGAGATGTGGGATCTGAAGATTTCCCATCTCTTCTTACGGTTCTGCAGGGTATCTTTCAGGGCCTAAACAACAGTTAGATCAGACCAAATGACCAAATAAACCAACAAAAATATAACAAAAGGGTAATTACCTGACTCAAGGCCGAAAATTGTTCAAGTTGCTGCAAGGCTCGATCATAGGTTGCCGCAGTCCTTGTTGCTTCAGCAGCAATTTCCTCTCGAGAACTTCCCAACCTATTGACAGTCAGTTTTGTGGCAATTGGTAAGCTGCAAGAGACATACTCTAAGTTGTAACGATCCAGGTCACGGCTTAGTTTATCGAGCTTTTTGTCGAGGCTGCCGGGTGTTTCTCCTTCGTCCACAGGAACTCGGGAGGAGACCAAGTTGGCCTTTTCATTGTATTCAATAACCCGTGCTTTTACCACTTCTTTTCTCGCCTCGATTGCAGCCTTGGTCTGTTTATTTTCGTTAACAAGTCCAACAGCTTCGTTCTTCTCCTCAAGGATTCTGGCTTGTTTCGTTTTCACAAGATTTTGCTCGCTTTCAGCAACTTGTAGTTTTTCCCGGAGGGTTCCAAGTTCAGAGTCTTTGGCGGATAGTTCCCGCCGAATTTCTTTGAGAGTCTGCAACATGGCTTTCATGGCTGCCTCGCTATCCTTGTATGATCCCTCATTGAGCTGCTTCTCATCTTCGGCTTCCTTGAGGGCTGCCTGAAGGGCGTCAATGCGTCCATCCTCGGCGTTCTCTTTGTCCAGGGCGTCTCGGAGTCCCTCTGCATGATCTTCCATTCGTTGCATTTGAATTTGCAGGTCTTTCTCGGTTCTTCTGTGTCGGGCCAGTGCCTGTTTGCAGGCCTCGACGCGTGACCGGGCAGTTACCAATGACTGTTCAATGTCGTTCTTTTGGCGTTTGAGGTCGGCAATAATGTCGTGTTGTGCGCTAGAGCCATCAGCCAGTGTCACAGGCTTCAAGGAACGGACTTACTTACTTGATTTGCAAGGCCACGTCTGATTTCATGCGCGGGCCATCGGTCCACCCCATAACAGGAGCCTGACTCGGTTCTCCGGCTCGGCTGTATGAAAGATGGAGTCCTCGACGTCGATCTTTTGGATCAATGGAGTAACAACGCTTAACGTTTCTTGGTCGTGCACCGTCGAATAGCACAGCGGAGGCTTCGCTTACGTCCTCGATCAACAGCATTTGTTCAATCCCGTGGTTGATGATCAGTTGTCGCCGCACTAATTCATTGTCGATCTGAAAGGTCAGCACATTCCATAAAACGTGGGAGGAGTGAGGGTGGCTACCTGAAGTGTTCGTAAAACAGTGTTGTATTGGGAGTCTGGTTCGTGTGCCGAGGTATCCAAACGGCCACCAGAGCCAATGAAGACTGGACAGTTGCTGTCAGGCCAGGTCAGCTTCATTTTTTCAACCTGTACCTCTGGTCGAACTCACCACTGAACCCGCCGCATGATATCGAAAAGAAGCTTCATGTCATTTTTGGACGAAACGATGAAACCGGCAAGCGTGCCACCAAACACTCTTTCCAAAATAGATGACCACTTCGGTTCTAGCAGAGTGACATGGTGACCAATTGGGCCAACAGGGCGTGACTCCCACGATTGCTCCTGTTGAATGGCTTTCAGGAGTGCAGGCATTTTGAAATTGAAGCCGGACTGTCTCGATCCACCTTCTTTAGTGAGATTCTCAAGTTGGTTTTCCGCTTGATCAATCTCGCGGTTTTTCTGTTCAAGGGGACCATTTGCTTCTGTGAGATCTCTCTCGGCGGTTTCAACGTTTTCCCGTAGGCGAGCGGTACCTTGGCGATGCTCTTCGTATTCCTTTTGGGCAGCAGAAGCGTCATTGGCGGCTTGTTCACACTCGTCTTGTTTTCGAGCGTAGCCGCCACCGCTCACATCAGCAAGACGCTGATTCTCATCGTCGACTTTTTGCTGGGTTTCCTGGATTCTCGACTCGGCCGCTTTGAGATATTCCCTAATCTGGCGTTGTTCCGCCTATACAAAACAGTCAGGTAAGGCATTTCACGGTGACTGGAAGGGCGTACCTGTAGGTCATGCCGGCCGGCCATCTCAGTGTCCAGTTTTTCTTTTATTTTGTCCCTTTCATCTTGGGCCTCATTCACTGCCACAGCAGCTCGCCAGGAATGTTCACCTGCAGCTGTTTCCTCCGCGGCGACTCCATCAAAGGCAGCATCAAACCGAGTGAGGCGAGACTCGGCCTCGGCAATTTTCCGATCTGCCTCGGCGATTTGTTCGGTGAGTGATATTTCCATCTATCTTGTCAGTCAGCCATCAAAAAGGTGGTGGGGTGGGACTGACTCTTTCTTGCTCTTCAACTTGAGCCCAAGCCATTTGGCCTCGGATATTTCTGATCCGTTTTCGTAGAGAATCGTGCTGGTCAGATATGTCGAGCTTTTTCTTGGCCAATTCCTTGCGGTTTTGGAGGACCTGTACGTCTTGGGCTGATGTTCTGAGCTTTTCTTCAATTGAGTCGAGGGATTCCTCCACCAGCCGGTAGTCGTTATCGAGCTGTTCCAACTGGACGCCTTTGACAAAGAATTTGTATTTCTCAGCTGGGCTTGATGTACTCAAGAACTGACGGGCCATATCTTGAGAGAGTACGTTCATAGGGTTTTCGATCTGCAGGGAAAAGTAGTCCGTGATAGCATCCAGCTCGGCCTTTTTAGTCGAGACGATGCGCCCATTCTCTGACTTGATCTTGAACCCGCTAGTGCCGCTTCGGGAGAAATGACGCTCGACAATAATGGTTTTCCCAAAATCATCTGACAGATAGGCACCGTCGCCTTGATTCTTGATGCGAACGATGATCGTGCTATTTTCCTTGCCCTCTTTGATGAAACTTTTAAGGCTTTGGCCACGATTTGTCGCAGAGGCTTTGCCACCTAGACAGAGGGTGATCGCTGTCAGGATCGCACTCTTACCGCTACCGTTTTTACCAACAATGAAGTTGATCAAGGGACCCAATTCCACGTAGAAGTGATCATGGCACATGAAATTGTAGCACTCAACGCGTTCGAGGATTCCATGTTCGGCGGGCACGTTGGCCTCGTCAATCAAATGCGAGTATTTTTCTTGTATGATCTGGGTCTGGCGGAGCTCTAGCTCATCCTCATCGTCGAGAAGCGCATCGTCGTTGACGGCTAAAAGTGAATCGGGGGCGTTGGTAACAGAGCCGGAAGAGATTGGAGATTCCGAGTCTGTTGAGCTCTCTGAATTTGTCCGCTGTCGTTTTCTCTGTGACTGTTAGCTCTGCTTAAACTCATACTTGCTGGGATCGTACTGAAGAACTCATGGCTGGCTGGTTGGACCCGTCGCTTTCCTCGCCGGAGTCCGTAGACGCCTGCACGCGCTTGCGGGATGGCATTTGAAGAACTCCTTATCGACCAAAGCCAGTGGCTAGCATAGCGAGCAAACTCGTCAGTCTTAGCTGATTGTCGCGGTTTTCGGCCACAAAGACCCCCACGAACTGATAGTCCCGAGGTCGCGTCGCGTCCGCGTCAAATAGACTTAGTAATCAAATGGGCACACCTGGGCACCCCCGAGTGAAAATGTAGCCTTCAGCGTTATTTTGATGTGTTTTGGTGTTGAATTTAAGAAGAAAGAAGAAACTAACATGACGGAATAGAAATGGTCTTGCTTTATGAGTAGAGGTCGAGGGGGACAACAACGAGTGTTTCTTTGTTCAGTGAATACAAAGAGAATCGGACGCCAAAACTATAGACGAAGTACGGAGTATGCGAGTACCTATTGCCCTCAGGCAATTTCTAAAGGTGCTGATAAGATGCATAGGGGGGGTATTACTTTAATTAATAGCTGATCGCTCGATCTACCGCTAGATTACACCTTCCTTCAACTAGAGGTACGCGAGTTGATTGCGCACGTTCTCTAGGCCATCAAAATTAGCCTGCAGAGTAGTGGCAAGAACACTTGAACTCTTGATATTGCCATCGCTTGCCCATTCATCGCACGCGTGACGAAGCTGCTGATGCGCAGCGGCAAATGCACTCTGCAACTCGGCAGTCCGAGTACACGACCGGCCTAGATCATTCATATAATGAGTAGGGTCTTGTATGCATAATCGTTGTGCAACAAGGAAATTCCGCTTCGCCGCAGCGGTCCGCTTGGCGCTGATCAGAGAACGCTGACCACGCTGGTGGGCAGGTTCATCAGCGTCGGGAGCTACAGGTAACATGTCTGCGCTGAAAAGTCCGGGAGGATCCACGGCGACACCGACAAACTGGAGGTCAATTTGAGTGCCATAGAACTGCAGGAGAGCAAGGAACTGGTCACCCAAGTTATTGGGCCCGGGAAACCGGCCATGGTTCATCTTCAGGAATGCCACGATGAGCATGGCTAGCGCATCCGGTCCAATGCTGGCCTGCGGTGAGCCAAAAAGGCCACGCGCCTCTAGCAATGTGCGTGTTACTGCGTACAGAGGTCGCAGGGCAGGATATTCAACCTGATAATCTTGCAGATACTCCGTGATAGCAGGGATACCCTCGCCACAATAGAATTGCAACAACAGTCCAGTCGGCCGGTGGCGAGCGGATAGTGAAGGGTTTCGCTTGTCAGATAGTTTGACATGGTCCCTGAATGTATCGGTGTGCTGTAGAGCTCTTTGGACTTGACGTAGAAGGCGGATGTGGGCATCTTGGATCTGGGGCCGCGTGGGGCTCGGTCTTCGATCACGTTTTAGTGATCTAGGAAGGTCTTCATATGGTAGTATAAAGTCAAGATCCGAGTGCGCCAGTACAAGGCCCGTGCAGTGGGATCCAATGACCCGTGGAGCATGTGGGACCACTGGTTTGAGAAGTGAGGCTACCTCTGTTCTGAGCTTCTCTACGCGGTCTTTTTCCTGAGCTCTTGGGGTCAGGTATTGATTCAAAGCTCGAATTTCTGCATCCAAGGTGATCTCGGCATTGGCGCGAGGCAGCTCCAAACCTCTCAGCCATGGACTCTGAGCCGGACGACCTGTTCCTGCAGGTTGAATCGCATCTTCTCCAAGTTGATTAATGAGTGATTGCCGAGATGCTATATCCACAAGACTTTTGCGTTTTTTCTGGGGTTTTTTAGATACCGGATCGGGAGTATCAGGTGAATATTCTGAGTTCGGTAGAGCTGGTTCCGCGGGTGGTTGGTAGTCGGCGCGACTCTTAGGTGGAATCTCAGGCCGCCAGAGTCCTGCGGGATCTTCAATGGGGTAAATTTTGCGGATCAAACGGGACCGATTTGAGGACCGATGGGCTTCTAGGGTCTTTCGGAGGCTGTTGGCAAAGACATCGGGAGTCTTGGCTGCCGTAACGGAGCTATGGAATGGGCGAAAGAGGTGAGAGGGACGGATGCGTAGAGGTAGGCTCGAAAGCTGCATAATAGTATTAGGGCATTTGAAGAGAGCAAAAGAGGACACCGGAGTGGATGTCACCATGCCGAGGATGCATGCAGCTTCCCAAGATTATTTCGGTCGACTTTATTCGAGAGTATCTGTGCCTCAGGCAGAAACGGCCATGTGACAAAGGTATTTGCAAGTGCATTTTAACAAGTTCGGCTTTTTATAACTATCTACATCGATGTATACATGTATACATATGTATATGTAATATTCTACATCTATCTCAGTATATTCAAACGTACCAAATACTTCATATAGGTCAAAAGTACATAGAAAAAGAACTACGCAACTATTTACCTCAACTACTATACGATACACAAGATAGAAAAAGAAATGCACACATGACGTAGCACTGAGGAAATATCCACAAATTCCCCCTCCATACTCTCTCTATCTTCGTCTTAAAATCTGTTTCTATATTAAACATTACATATTTGAATCTGTGAACTTGGAAGATCTCCCCTTTAGGTCTAATCGGTTCCCCCCGAGCATTTCCTTCGATAACTCTCGATAAGACAAGTCCACTTCACCGCTTGCCCCTCCATCCTTACTATTTCCTATTCCTTCTTTCTTTACCTATAGTCTATCTGTTTTTCGATTTTATTATCTTCCTTTCATTGTCCATGGCTTTCCTGCGATAGTTCCATTTCCCCCCGACCTTGCTTATCGACTCAGTCCTAACCCCCCGAGGTATGTACCTTGGATCATCTCCCCATTCCCAACCCACCGATGTCAAAGGTTTCCCCGGACCTTGGTGCATATGACAGCAGCCTAACTCTCGCAGTCTAATTGCAACACACCGGATCTCATCCTCGATCTTCCCGTCATATAAGCGCTGCTCGGCTGCTCGTCATGTCCAAACCAGAGAGCCCCGCGCAGGTGCCCGATGATCAGCCAAACCCTGTCCTTGTTGGGCCTGGATTAAAGGCTCTCAAAAATGAAGCATATACCGAAGCGACAGATGCGACACCTTGTCTGGAGAATATGTCGAGCGAGGCCCCTTCATATTTTGACAGTCTCCCGGGGGCCAAGGCTGTAACCACCGACCCGTCTGACACCAAGTCCCAGCCAGTGCAGACTGCAGGGAGAGCATCATCTGGCATGGATCTGCTGCGCCGCTTGAGCTTGACCTCGGACTCTCCCATCTCCCCTGAGATTGATCCACGCGTACAACACCCAGGACTTCGTTTGAGTGGCCGCCTCATTAGCGCTGCTTTCTGCATACCATACAAGCTCAACTTTCGATCGGGATCAGACTGGGTACGTGGATGATTCTGTTTATTTGGGAGATCGTATTGACTGACCGGATAACAGACGCTAAAGTCGCGCTCCGGTACTTCAGCGCTGTTCGATTCATTCGCACATCTTGCATCGGATGAGACTTCTTGGTCACACACCTTGGTAGGCTGGACCGGAGAAGTCGAGCCTGATGTGGACATGAAATCACCATTGCAGCAAATACATCCCAATTCTGCAGTCAAGGCACCTTTAGCTCCCAGTAATCTTGTTGCCAATCAGCCATTGAACAAGGCTGCTGCGCCAGTTCCCGTGGATGGAACCAAAAAGCCACCCGCACATCCATTGTTAGAGGGAATTAATGTCACCCAACAGGACCGAGAACGACTCGATGAACAATTGAGCTCAGGTCGTCATGGCCGGGTATTGCCTGTGTGGTTGTCGGATGCATCAGAAGAACCAGAAGAGACTATTCTACTGAAAGATCAAGGGAGATGGCGCCGTTATGCCGAACGTGAGCTATACCCTCTACTCCACTACAAGCAACATGGCCCGACAGATGGCCGATCTGAGAGACGGTGGTGGGCCGACTACGTGCGCCTGAACCAGTTGTTTGCGGATCGCATTGTGCAGGAATATCAAGAAGGAGACGTGGTCTGGGTTCATGATTATCATTTGTTCCTTCTGCCCAGTCTGCTGCGGCAACGTATCCCGAATATTTACGTGGGATTCTTCTTACATTCGCCCTTTCCCAGCAGTGAGTTTGTCCGGTGTCTTGCGAAGCGCAAGGAGATCTTAGAGGGAGTCCTGGGTGCCAACATGATTGGATTCCAAACATTTTCCTACTCTCGACACTTTACCTCGTGCTGCACACGTGTTTTAGGCTTTGAGTCCAACTCTGCCGGGGTTGATGCCTACGGGGCCCATGTTGCAGTAGATGTTTTCCCCATTGGCATCGACGCACGTTCGATTCAAAAGGCCGCCTTCGGGGCTCCGGATATCGAGAAGACCGTGTTGGGTATTCGCAAGCTCTATGCTGGAAAGAAAATCATCGTCGGCCGCGATCGCCTAGACAGTGTTCGCGGCGTCGCGCAGAAGCTACAGGCATTCGAAATCTTCCTGGAGCGCTATCCGGAATGGCGTGACAAAGTTGTCCTTATCCAGGTGACGAGTCCAACTAGCGTGGAAGAGGAGAAGGAAGATCCAGAGAACAAGATTGCTGGCCAAATATCCAATTTGGTTTCGACCATCAATGGGAGATTTGGCTCTTTGAGTTTCTCGCCCGTCCAGTACTATCCGCAATACTTGTCCCCGCGCGAGTATTTCGCTCTGTTGCGTGTAGCCGATGTCGGATTGATCACTACGGTGCGAGATGGCATGAACACAACGAGTCTGGAATATATTGTCTGTCAGCAGACCAACCACAGCCCTTTGATTCTTTCTGAATTCTCCGGAACGGCGGGCACCCTGCCCAGTGCCATCCACATCAACCCGTGGGATATGGTTGGGGTGGCTGGAGCGATCAATCAGGCATTGAATATGCCAGCCGAGCAGCGAAAGGAGCAACACCTCAAGCTATACAAGCATGTGGTGACCAACACAGTTTCAATGTGGTCCAGGCAGTACCTTAATCGCCTACTGACCAACCTTTCGTCCTTTGACCAATCGGTCGCTACGCCTGCACTCGATCGCGCAAAACTAATGAAGCAGTATCGTAAGGCTCGCCGACGACTGTTCAT